CCACCTACTCCTTCCTAACTCCTCCAAGACCTACCAATACTCCTTCCCATTTTCATGTCTCCTGCCACTCATAACCCAACAAGTTCAAGTTGTGTTGAACATGTCCTCCTGGTTGTGGAGACCCCCCCCCCCCCCGCCCCGCCGCCAGAGTGTGGCCCAACTACCTGGATTCCCACCTAAGGAGAAATTACTATCCCTCCCCCAGCTATGCAAAACACTTTAATAAGTTGTAATAGGCATACATTGCGGAAAAACACTAGTCATAAACTGTAAAAGGCGCTTGTTCCAGCCATCCATAGGTAATCCCAGCAAGCAGCTGTGCACACCTTTCAGATCTGATATTATTGGTACTGTGTTCAAATCTCTAGCATCTTTCTGTCTTCTTAAAGTTGGCTGTATACATAAATATACCCCTTTATCTAGAAAATAAGATTATATTCCACGTGTTACTTGAAATTTATTTAAAAATCTGAAATGTGTTATAAATACATATATGTATTTGTATATACTTACATTATGTTTGAGCTGACATGTATGCTTACTTTTGGGCATTAAAAACATCTCATTCTCTCCAGTGTAATGAACACACCCCAAGATGTCAGGTCTTTCCTATGAAAGTTGAAGAAATTCAGCAGAGAAGTTTCTATGTGCAGAAACAGGGCCTGGTGCTGCCCTGATGTGAAAATAAATAGCCACCCTAGAGGTAGACTGACACTAGCTAATTATCTTGAAGAATCCCTATGACACTCTGGTGTCTATAGTGTTAAAATGCCCAAACTGATAATTGGATTTGTCATAGTCAACAAACACAATGATACATACCCATTTCATCTATGTTTTAGAGCTTTTTGCCAAAGTAAGCCTAGCTGTTTCAGTAACAAGTAGCGGCCAGGATCAAAACCATTCCACAGGTCTGTAGCAAAATTCATCTTTAATTGAAAGCATCAAGAAGCCAGGACTGTGGTTTTGGATCATTGACACAGCAGTTAGTTCTGTGTTATCACAAGGCCCGTGAGAGTGGCTTGTAAGTTGAAAATAAGGACAAAATATCAAATAAGAAAAAGACATTTAGATCAAAAACAAAAGGGAAAAGTGTTGTTTCCATGGGCATCAGAGGACTTCTTTCGCTGGATCTGCAACCCTGCCTCCCGCAGGCCCCTCCCCGAATCCAGCCCGCAGTTACTTTGTGGAACCCAAACCGCGTGTGATCGGCGTGACTGGGCCGCACTCCTTCATCCTCGCTCTTCTCCACCAACTTTCATGAAGAAAGTACAATTTGAAAAATCACCCTGGGGTGAGAAAATTCTTTTAATAACATTGTTTTTGAAGTAAAGCAAAACAAAACAGCAACAAAGAAAAACAAATTTCAAAAGAAAACAAGCTGAGATCGGTCCATGCAGTAAAATGTTGCTTCTCCTTAGCATTTTACGGTGCGGACGAGTTTTAAAAGTGTAGACATGAGCATGGTTGCATGGATGAAGGTTCTGGGCACGGCGACTCTGGAAGTTCATTCGTTTCCTTGAAGGTGACAGAATCCCCAAGGGTTAGTGACAGCACTTCTCATAGCATTGTGTCTTGTGTTCTGTTGCAGCCTTTCAGACTTGAGGTCATGGACCCTTTCAGATATTTCCCCTTTCCCTCACCGATTTTCTCCTTCCAGTTTCCTTTTCATCTCCTCCTCCTGTCCTTCCCCCTTCCTTCTCTTCTTACTCTCTCTCTTCCTCTTCTACACCTCTTCCTTCTCCCCAATCTCCTCATCCTTTGCTCTCTCCTCAACTTCTCCCCTCCCACACCTCTTCCTTACACCCTCCTGTAACCTCTCATCCTGAGTTCATAAGATCGTCTACAATTGGTGTTGGACATTACTTAACTATTTTTAAATAGTTTGGGAATTTTTTCAGGGTCGGGAGGGGGATGGTTGAGACAGGGTTTTTCTGTATAGCCTTGGCTGTCCTGGATTTATCCTGTAGACCAGGCTGGCTTCAAACTCAGCTATGCACCTGCCTCTGTCTCCCAAGTGCTGGGATTAAAGGTGTGCACCCCAACTGTCCAGCTTCCATTTTGGAATATTTAACCATTATTCCCATGACATAGTTGCTTTAACTCGCTGATAAGATAATGACTTCTCTTTCCTGTAGAGATGAAGAAACTGGGATTGACAGAGGTAAAGTGGGTTTAAGAACTAAGTTTGTTCAGCAGCATTGATGGTGTGTCCTAGCTGTTTCAGTCCTTGGTTGCTGATGCCATAATAATGTAGAACAATGGTAGGTCATGTTCTCTGAGGTTCAGTCATGTGCTGGGTACTCTTAACAAATCCTTGCTTAGCACAACAACATTACAAAATATTTCTGTTTCTATGTGATGAATGGCACAAATAGGCTTGAGGAGGTATATATTATTATAAATATTACAAAGCTAACAATTCGGGCATGTGAATGCTTGGTGACCCAGGCCCTACAATGCAACAAAATAGCCATCTTGTTTATAGACTATGTTACTAATGCACAGCGACCATTCACATCTACGGGATGAAGCATGATAGTTTAGCACATGGGCACAGGATATTATGATTACACGGTGTTCTTTTTAGGTGCTTGCTCTCAAGAGCCCATGATTTCTTTGTATAGAGAATGGTGAGATCTGTTCAAGTGGCTGCTTGAAGTTTACAGTTAATTGGTGCCAATTATGGTTGCAGAGTTGTGCTCAGAACATTAAAACTCATTTCCCCTGTCAAACTGCCTCATGCCTGTGTCCATTACACATCCACCCTTAGCTCTCCTCCTGCACCACAGCTTCAGTGGCCTCTCCTCTGCTGATACCTGCGTAGCTTCCACGTGGAACTGAGGATGCGCCATGTTTGTTTCTCAGTGTGCAGACTTATTTCCTTAACAGGAGTTCAACCCATGTAGCTATAAATAACACAATTCCATTATTTTTATGGTTGATTACTGTTCCACTGTGTACATGAACCATGGTATACATATCTATTTTTTTTATTGATAGGAGGAAATTTTAAATGCTTGCCATGGGGTTTAGTATGGTGCGAGAACATACTTCACATTATACTAGGATTTTTTTGTTTGTTTGTTTTTTTGCAGTCAGTAAGCAAGTGAATTATACTTTCTGACATCTAGTCCACAGCTAACTCAATTTTTGAAAGGAGTTTTTTAGTGTATGATTATTGCTAGTAAAGAAAAATTTAAGGAATCCCTTTTTCCTACTTTTCTCCCTTTCTTCCTTCCATCTTGTTTTTTTCTTTTTTGTCAGTGTGCCTGACTATAATTTCAGCACTTGGGAAACTGAGGCAGAAGGATAACTGTGAGTTTAGAACCACCTTGGACTTCATAATGAGTTCATTGTTAATCTTGGATATATGCAAGATCCTGTCTCAACAAACAAACAAACAAACAAAGATCTGGCCAAAGAACTGTAACTAACAGGAGTTAGTTGTGTCTCTCTTTTGTTAAATAAGTTTGTTTTCTAGCCAGAATTGCCTTTTTGAGACCAAGCTCATCAGAGCTGATCTGAACACTGAGTGCAAGTATTAGCTCACTATCACCTGTGCCCTAAATGCTTCCAAGAAGAGATTTCTTTGGACTTTGGTTTCAGAGTTAGATGTGAATTCCAGTTATCATCTTAGCAACTACCTCTCTGCTTTGTAGACAGTGTTGAAAGTGTAAAAATAGGTATCTAACATCCCCTGGGAGAGGTTGTAAGGGAACCAAGGCTGCAGTGCAGAAGGACAGGAATATGACACACATGCTGCTAGATGACAGAAGGACAGGGTATTGGCATAGGTGTCTCTAGAGGACAGGACAGAGCATGACATGGTTATCTGTAGAGGACAGAAAGACAGGAGCATTAGTATCTCTAAAGGACGGAAGGGCATGAGGATGATACCAGTGTCTGAAGAGGAAAGAGGGAGAAGGGAAGAGGGCAGCTACTCCAGTCTATGATATAGGAGCAGTTATGGCTAAAAAAAAACCTTCATCACAGTAAGAGTATTATAAAGCCTTGAAAGCTGACTGAAATATAAGGGTTCATTCTTTTAAAATAACTACAGCTCAAGTCCCTATGTCTGAACATTGTGACCTGATAGTTATGTAGTATCCATATTTTCTTCTGTATTTGCTTTTCTGCCTTGGTTAAGTTGACAAAACAACAACAAAAACAAAACAAAACAAAACAAAACAAAAACACAGCCTTTGCCTCATGTTAAAATGTCCAGTATACTATGAAATAGAAAAACAATGGAAAAGAGAATTCTTGTCTCTTTTCCCTCTTTTTACAAATGTGAAATGAAAAATTGCTTCACTATGTAAAAATTGAAGGAGAAATTGTCTTTTGTTAATATTTGGATTGATTGGCCCTAAATGACCAATGATATTTATTTTTTTGCTTCCTTACTTGATAAAAACAGCTGCAGTGCCTTCAATCTTTGAATTGCCATCTAAATTATATGCACAGGGTCCGTGACCAGTCCCATTTTCTTCTCCGGCAGGGAAGCAGGTGTAGAATCGCTTCTTGTTAGTGACCGGCTTGCACAACCCTTTGTGAAGGTGTGTGCTGAATCAGAATGATTGTAGTCATCTAGCACAACATAGCACAGGATTGTTTCAGCAAACCAAAGTAAGGGAAGATAAAGGCAAGCACTCTTCAAAGGGTTGTTGATGAGATTCTTTACAAAGAGTTAGATGAATTCATACCCCAAGTCATTGCAAAGTTTGAAACTATAGGAGGATAATTTAATATTCATTTTACTGTCTATGATTTCCTTTATTGTTAGAGCTAAGAGTGGAGAGATTTTAATATTTCAACATAATTTAAAAGTTGTAGAAGAATCCTAACTCATGTATTTTTTTATTTATAAAGTAGTTATAAAGACAAAGTGTTCAGAGATTCTTAGCTGACGATTTTCAACTTTACGTTCACTGACAGTGATCGGCATATGAGTGATGACATCACAGCTTTGCATTTCTTCCGACATCTTCTCGTTCCAGTGCGATCGCTGCTTGCCTCTTTACAACGACAAGCCTTTCCGCAGTGGTGACCGGGTTCACGCCTTCAACTGCAAACCTTGTCAGTGCAACCGCCACGCCAGCAGCTGCCACTACGAGGCCTCCGTGGACCCGTTCCCTCTAGAGCACGGCAGAGGTAGCGGAGGGGTGTGCGACAGCTGCCAGCACCACACGACAGGTGAGCCGAAATCCCTAGTGGCTGGCTCAGCCGGTGGCCGTGCCTGCTACCTCTAGGTGCAGGGTGTTTTTAATTGTAATGCGGTTATTTGGGAACGAGCTTTTCTGCTGCTAAGTTTAGAAGCAAAAGCTGTTTCATCAAATCTTCCCTGTGCAGAAACAGTCCTCCATTTTATGTTTGCAGGAAGATACTCCTTCCAAAGTGTCCCCATTGTTTACCAAACTGCTAATTCACATAGCTTAGCCTAGCTCGGTTTTGGTACACCCTTACAGTACGTTACTTGTGTCGTTTTGTTTGTTTGTTTTGTTTTGTTTTCTGTTTTTCTTGTGTCTGGTTTCACACATGGACCTGTTACATTTACTCAGAGTTTACACAGACACCAATAATCCTTTGAAGATATTGTAAACATATGGAACAACTAGATGGCTCATGGGAAAATGAGCTCACTGGAAAGGCCAACAATCAGAGCTGGATTCCCAGAACCTACATGGTAGAAGAAAAGGGCTGACTTCTGCAAGCTGTCCTCTGTCCTTCAGAAACACACAATGGTGCATACTTGTTCATCATACACACACACACACACACACACACACAAACACACACACAATGTGCAAAAGGTTATAAATACAGAAGATGGTAAACAAGTAAGTTCTAGCAATCATTGGAATCACTGTTTCCTGAAGAGCAGTATTAACATTAAAACAAAAACAGTCAGCGTCTGTGTTCATGAGATACAATGTGAATACAATTAACCCCAAAGTGTTACTCTAAGCATGAGTGAATCCTTCAGATAGTTCCTGCTGACATAAACTAGCATGAGAATCTGAGTGCCGAGGCTGTGAAGGTGGGTATTCCTGCGCTTCTGACGTGAGAGCTGGTTCTACAGCAGAAACACACATTGAGAAGCAGCCACCAGCGTGTGGGCACATCAACACTCCAGAAATATGAAGAACTTATTTATTAACCAGAAGCTTATGTCCCTCAGAATAAAGAAAAAAAGATTAGTTGATTATAAAGTTTCCTGATGTGTCCGTTTCCAGCAGCATCAGAACAGAGTGTGTGGCTTTTTAATAGGAAAGTTGATAACGTGAAGGTTTATTTCAGATTCTTTCTCTGGTTTTGGCACTACCCACATTGGCTGTGGAAATCACTCATAGAAAAAGTTAGTCAGAAGATGGCAAGAGGAAAGGGATACTGAAATCCATAGGAACAGCATTACACACTGACTATATCAGGCTCTTCTAATACTTAATGCAAGACTTATCTGATATGTATAGATATGGTGAGTTTATTTATTCTGATACTTGAAAAAAATAATTAACAGAGGCATTAAAAATTGTGTAACTGTACAATTCCTTGTGTTAAGAGCATTCTCCATTTTTCATACTTTATTTTGAAAGATACATTTTGTAATTGTTTTGTGTGTTTATGTGTGCTGATCACGTGTATATGGGTAGAGGCCAGAGGGTAACATCAAATAATCTTTCTCAGTCACCCTCCACCTTTCTCTACCTGGAACTCATTCGTTTGGCCGGACTGGTTCGTCAGGGAGCCCCAGGAACCCATCTGTCACCGGGTAATTGATGAGTACTGCCGGGTGAGCCTGGCTGCTCTGGAATGTGCTGGGTACCGGATTCAAGTCCTCCTGCACGCATAGCAAGTGCTTGCCAACTGTGTTAGCCCCTTGACTCTCAACAAACATTTGCGGTACCGAGCTTCTGCTGCCTTTTGCTTCTGTGTGTTCTGCCGAGCGCAGCAATTCCTCAGTTTGCTCTAGAAATACGCGCCTAGACATAAGAAGGCGACTGTAACTTTAGAAGTGGATTCCTTTCAAATGGATGCTCCCTTCCGAAGCTAAACTTCTCAGAAGTGTGGTACTGCACAACAGATGGTGTTTAATGAAGTAAAGCAACATTTGGAACAGGTTCACCGTTTCATATGCTCCGGATCACTAAATTGGCAGGTAGAGATGAAAGGTGCATTAAAATGGACATCCCCAAAATTATGAATTTCCTCAGAGGGATACAGTCTTGAATCTTGAATGATACAACCTACTGTAATGAATGATGAGTTGTAACGAACACGCTATCCTGACACAGGGAGAAACTGCGAGTCGTGCCAGGCTTACTTTTACCGACGCGTCGGCGCAGATCCCTCTGCCCCTGACGTCTGTGAGCCCTGTGCCTGTAACCACGCTGGGACCAGAAACGGCAGCCTCCTCTGTGGCCCGGTGAGTTGCTTCCGTCTCGGGAGGGGTGGCTCTCATATTAGAGACCAGTTTGGGATGTGTTTTTCAGGAAGTTCTAAGCTGGCAGTTTTTGTTGTTGTTGTTTTGTTTTTGTTTTTTGTTTGTTTTTCAAGGAGAATTTTTTTAAATAATTAATTTATTTTTATTTATTTACAATTTATTCACGTTGTATCCCAGCTAAAACCCCTCCTTCTCCCCGCCCCCAATCCCACCCTTCCTTCCTCTTCTCTTCCCATGGGCCTCCCCAAGTCCACTGACAGGGGAGGTCCTCCTCCCCTCCCATCTGACCCTAGACTATCAGGTCTCATCAGGACTGGCTCCACAAAGAGAGCAACAGAACCAAAAATGTGGGCCCAGGGCTCTTTTTCTGAGATTGGTACTCCAACCAAGGACCATTCATGGAGAAAACCTAGAACCCCTGCACAGATGTAGCCCATGGCAGTCTCCAAGTGGGTTCCCTAGTAAGGGGAGCAGGGACTGTCTCTGGCATGAACTCAGTGGCTGGCTCTCTGATCACCTCCCCCTAACAGAGGAGCAGCCTTACCAGGCCACAGAGGAAGAGATGCAGCCAGTCCTAAGCTGGCTTTTAAAAGATAACCAAAGTAGCCTGGGCCTTGAGGAATGTCCATCGGGATTGTTAACTGAGTGCTGCTAGGGGTCCCTTTGTAGAAAAGAAAGATTCATTTTAGTTTTAATCTTGCACATGTCAAAAGGAATTGAGAGTGTGATTTTAATCAAACTTCAAAGTAGTAAAAATTTTTTCTTAAGTATAAATAACTCTTTAATCCCAAAGCCAGGAGAAGATAGTACTGCAAAAGCCAATTGCAGGAAGACTCAAATGGAAGTCGTGGTATTTCTCTGCTTCTAAATCCTACCTTCCCAATAGTTTGAAAATAGCATGTATGTTTTAAATCTTAAAATATGTTTGCCATCTGTGTCACAAATTGTGATGTCTAATTTACATGAATGCGGAGTTTCACTAAGGTGTCCCTAAGTCTGAGCTCTAGCCAATAGCCCTGTGTTTAAATCAGCTGTCATTATCTCTAGCTTTGACTTGTCACCCTCGTATCAATAAATTTCCTTTAGATAAAGGAAAATTTATCTTAGAAAGCCAACTCAATGATTGTATTAGTTTTAATAAATATGTATTATTTTGAGCAGTTGAGAATATAAAGATTAGGGCAATAAGCCCAGCTATGGAATATTTTATGAATTACATTGTAAACATAATAAATTCAAGGTAGATATATTTGTCATGTAACTTTCGGCAAACCTGGAAGAGAGCTTTTCAAAAAAAGTTGAGGTGGCAATTTCTTGTAATCTAGGAGTTTGAAAGGCAAGCACAGGAAAATCACCTGTTTAAATCCAACCAGCCAGGGCCAGATTGCAAATATGAAGCCAGCCTGTGCTACATAGCAAGACTTATCTCAAGTCAGTTTCTAAAACAAAAAAAATGATAGAGCAAGTAAAAACACAGATTAAAGACAGAGAAGGTGGTCAAAGTGTGTTAATGACCAATGGCATGCTCTTCGTTAAAACAAAGTGATAACTCATAAGGAATATTTCCCATAGTCTATTTGATGCTAGTAAGGGCTTTGTTCTCTGTTTCTGGAGGCTAAACCCACAGTCCCACAGGCAAGAACATGCTTTATCACTGAGCCGACCCCAGCCTTCATTGTGCTTGAAATCTGTGATGTCTTATCCAGACTGTAAACTTGATGTACCGAAGGAGAAGAAACCTTGATGAAATACAGCTTCAGATAGGCTGGTGGGCTTGTCTGTGGGATTTTCTTGATTTCTGATTGATGAGGAGGGTCCAGCCCAATGTGAGACCATCCCTAGAGAGGTGGGCCTGCACTTTATAACACAGGTAGCTGAATGTGAGCCTGGAAGTGAGCCAGTGGGCACTGTTCTTCTATGGTCTCTGCTTCAGTCCCTGCCTGCAGGTTCCTGCTTGGTGTTTCCACCCTAGGTTTCCTCCATGGAGGACTGTAAGCTTTATGCAAACAAATCCTATCCTGGTTGCTAGTGATCATGGTTGTTTGCAGAGAAAGAAAAACCAAACTAGGACACATGCACACAAACACATTCTCACAGATTTATAAACACACAGAGACACACACAATACTCACACAGAGATACACAGACATAGACACACAGAGACACACACAACACACTCACATAAACACACACACACACACACATACACACAAACAGTCTGGTTCTTACCTTCTTACAGTATCTATACCCTGACAGTCACACCCAAGCAGCCATTGCCTGTTCTAATTGCCTTGAGCTACATGCTTGGTTTTCTTCTATCAACTTCAGCTCTTTGTCAGTGTGTGTAAGTTAGATCAACAATCAGGTGTGTAATTTAAAGCTATACCAATATGTAGGTGAGATTTATAACTACACACAAGCCATACTCATACATAATGTATGAAAAATGCTTGGGCATGAGGCAGGAATATCCTCTGCCCACTTCTGTTCAGCATTTTTCTACTAAGTGTAGACAATGTAAATTAGGACAAAAATGAAATCAAGGGATTTGAATAGGAAACGACTCCATTTGTACATAACATGACCTTACTTATCAAAAAAAAAAAAAACTTAAAAACTGTTAAATGGAGTGTGAAAGCTCCATCTTAGAACTGGAGAAGTAGGGATGTAGATCCCAGATAACTGGGACTACGTCAGGAAGCCTATCTTCAACAAACACACAAGCAAAGAAAACAACAAAGCCCAAAATTAACAGCACACTGAATTCAACAAAATCCCTAAACTATTATACGTAACAAATGATGATCATGTTTTCAAGATTTCAGACAAATGTGGAGAATCAGACATAATTCTATATGGCCGCAACAGTCTGAAATTATTGTTAGGAAGGCTGCATCACATCAAACTTCGTGAGGAGTAGAATAGTCAGGAACAAATTTAGTAAAAGATTTTCAAAGTTTACATTCTGAAAACTTTGAAGCATTGTTTGAACTAAATCAAAGAAGACCCACCTAAATAAAGTGGTGGCTACTAGTCATGCATCAGATAGCTTAATATCTTAAAATGAGAATCATTCGTCAAATTGCCTGCTGATTCAAGACTATGCTCATTGAAAGTACAATTTATACATAAATTTAAACATAAAGATTTCTTTTTAGACCTGAGAAAGATGCTACAAAGTTAAAAATTTCAAAGGACAAGTGGCCAAAACTCATTAAAAGAAGTACAGACTTAAATTATCCATACTTTCTAATTTTAAAATGTACTAGTCTTCAGTAATCAATGGAATGTAGAAAAGTGTGTGTGTGTGTGTGTGATATTCGTTTATCTATCCATCTTTTCTTTGTAATATTTTTCAACTATCTGTGAAGCCTGTCTTCTCTGCTCCCCTTGCCTCTCAACTCTTCCATGCAGTTTATATTGGCCCAGCAACACCATCTATGTTACTTCTCTCCATTCTCCAATTTGCATTATGAGTTCTCCAGTTCTCAGACTGAAACCCCTCTTTAGTTCCCTCCCATGTGGGTACTAATGCTGTCTGGGTCTTGTGACTTCTGATGGTTTCTTTCAACCCATTTCTCCTTAGGTGTCCCTTCCGATGGCTAGCCTCTTGGGTTTGTGTGAATGTTGGGCATGGATTCAGTTTTAGAGGGCATTGCTATTTATTAAAATACTTAAATGCTGGAGTTTGGGGGATCTGAAAACCATGGTTTCATTATAGTTGAGGTTTGTCTCCCAAAGGCTGTGTGTCTAAAGCTTGGTCCTGCTGTGGCAATATCACGACATGATGATTCCTTCAAAACGATGGACTTACAAGCGCTTATTGGGCTTTCTCCTTTCTGTCTTCCTGTCTAAGCTTGTCTGGGATTCTATTGGTCTTATGCGCTATGCCTACGTTCCTGCCTCCCGCATGCCCTCTATCTTGTTTCTCTTGCACCCAGTGAATTCTGTCTGGCTTCTTGTACATCCATGTGTATTCTATTTAACATTGTCATGTTTTATTTTTGCCTGGATGCCTGTACGGCCAAAACATGTGTGTCTGACCTCCTGTCAGGCCATGTGATCTCCCACTATTGCTGTGCTGCCTTTACCCCAGGACTCGGGTAGGCAGGGCAAATTGTGGGTCAAAGGTATTGCGACTGGATTGATGTCCCAATCTCTATCCTGGAAATCTTTCCTGATTATAGGATATTCCAGTCCAGGCTCCGTATAGGGTCACCTCTGTGGATTCCTGGGAGTTTCCATTGAACTAGTTTTCTAGCTTGCCCCTGAGATGCTCCCCAATTCCAGTTGTCTCTCACAGCACTCTCTCCCTCCAGCCTTCCCCCAGTCCCTCCTGTTCCCATCCCTGCCCTGCTCCCAGTCACGATATCTATTTTATTTCCCCTTCCCAGGAAGATTCATGCATCGTGCATGTCCCCTTGATGATAACATGATTATTCCTTAATTTACAGCTAATATGCACTTATAAGTGAGTACAAACTATTTTTGTCTTTCTGGGTCTGGGCTATCTCACTCAAGATTATTTTTTCTAGTTCCATCCATTTGTCTGCATATTTCATGAAGCTAATTTTTAACAACTGAGTAATACTCCATTGTATAAATGTAGTATATTTTCTTTTTCTTTTTCACTCTTAAGTTTCTTTTTCAGTTTCTTATTCTTTTTTTTGTATCCCCCCCATAAGCCCCTCCTCCCTCCCCTCCTGGTCCCACTCTTCCTCCCCCTTCTTCATGCATGCCGCTCCCCAAGTCCACTGATAGGGGGGTCCTCCTCTCCTTCCTTCTGATATTAGCCTATCAGATCACATCAGGAGTGGCTGCATTGTCATCTTCTGTGGCTTGGTAAGGTTCCTCTCCCCTCAGGGGGAGGTGATCAAAGAGCAGGCCAATCAGATTATGTCAGAGGCAGTCCCTCTTCCCATTACTATGTAACCCACTTGGACACTACACTGTCATGGACTACATCTGTGCAGGGGTTCTAG